AAAAAATCATACAGAGGGAAGGAGCAAGTACTTTGGACATGTTACCAGATCGGTCCCTAGAAAAGGGCATCATATTTGGTGAAAAGAGGAGACTGTAGACAAGATGGATGCACACAGTGGCTGCAACAATGGGATCAAGCATAGCAACAATGGTGAGGAGGCGCAGGGCCGGGCAGCGGTTCATCCCATCGTACCACGGGGTCCCTCTGAGTCAGAAGGGACTCAGAGGCACCCATAACAATAGCAACAGACAGCACTTTGAGAAACATACACTGCAACAGCCAGTAAACTACATTTTGTTTCAGTCATCCATAAAACACAAAACATTGAAGCACATCTGATACCATACCAAACTCAAACTCATTGCTACAATCGACCGGCTCACAGCAGCCCTATGGCGCAGAGCAGAAATGCTCCAAGTTCCGTAGGCTGTAAACGTTCCTGGAGGCAGACAGCTGCTTTTGGCTTCCTTGGAGAGTCACGTGGGTCCCAACTGCAGCCCTTTGGATTGGCAGCCGCACAGTTCACTGCCACAGCTCCTTTGATATGCCCTGATGTTATACAGAGAACACTACGTACACTATTCTCTCACCTTTCCTAAGACAGTGGATAGTTTTCCATATATGTTCATATAGACCTCTGCTTGTTATTTTTCAAAGGAAAAAAATGAAATTCTATTAGAAATCTACATACAGACCTGTTCTGGATACACCATCTACAGAATTCATTCTTCACACCATCAGGAATGTTGACCTTAACTGTCAGTATCTTCAGGTTTTCTCCACGGTTAATTGCCAGAATCTGAATGCAAACACAGATTGATGATTTATAAAATAAATTATAAATTTAAGCAGTCAATGTTTATGAAATAAATCATGTAGCCATTCAGCCTGGAATTATATGAATTTTTATTCACCAAGAACTTATTTTAAACTAATCATGTTTACACTTCAAGTAACATACCTCACTAAATGCCACCTCTTTAGGAGAGTGTCCAGTGTTTCTGGTGCCTGATGTCAGAGCAGACAAGCACAGCATCAGAATGTGGATAAGCCAGAGTCAGACATGATCTTAGCAAGAAGAACCTGAAGTGTCCCACGTCGAGCTCAATGTGGCGCCTGTCCATCTCAAAGGTGGCTGTGTAGTTAGTTCTCGCACAGTGGGGACCCAACTCCTGTGAGAGTCGTCCTGCCACACTCCGCGTCCCCAACCACAATTTTGCAATGGCTGCTCCCTGGTCCTGGCTACGCGCCTGCACCCCAACGCCGCCCCACTCCCAGGCCCTGCCGCCACTTACCCCAGCGCGAGCCCACACTGGCATCTCGAGGGCCTAGCCCCCACCCTGGCCGCAGCTCCCCACCTCCGCCCTGCCCCTGGGTTTTCTATTCTCGTGAACAGTCTCAGTCTCAGAAACTCACAGGGGCAGTTCTACCCTTGTCCTACAAGCCAGGATAAAGAAGAATATATGATAGAAAATTGTAACTTCAAACTAGGATAAGGAGGTGGCCCATTTATTACCCTTTTAGACATTTTCTTAATAGACATATTTTAACCATTAATGGAATTCTATTATAAATGCTGATTATAAACTGAATTTTTTAACCCTAAAAACAATATACTTATTTATCTCTACCTCAATTTTACACAGAATACTTTGTACAGATATCGTGACTGGCTTATGCAAGTTACTGAAAAACAGTTTTGTGTTTTTGGGTTCTCTGATGTTTTGTGTTTTGGTTGCCTGGTATTACTTAGTCACTCAACAAGCTGATCTTTCAAGATAGAGGCTTTTGACAACTTGGCATGCAATGAACTGACACGAGTTATGTTGGATGAGAGTCCTAATTTCCAAAGTCCCCAGCACTTGTTCTTCTCAAAGAACACGACATCCAATTATGCATGCAGCAGTCTCAGCAGGTACTCTAACCTGGAGCTAGGTAGCTCTGAGAAGACGTAAAATCTACCTCTCCTAAAAGATAAGTCACTTGACTTCTTTGCATCAATTTTCCCATCAGTCAAGTACTGGCTACAGAATTTACTGAACCTACCAAGTAGATTACTGTAAAGACCAAATACACTTTGAAAAATTTAAACCAAAAATTAAAAATGCTATACAAACGTGGGGCTATTTTTTAAGTTTCTCATAAATAAATAAAGTGTAATAAAAAGTTATCTAAGTTTAAAATACCCCACTGGAGATCCCCTTGCAGCCACTGGAGATCCCCTTGCAGAGGGGTCTCGGGGAGGAGAGGAGCCAGTCAGGGTGCGATGTAACAATGATGAGAAATATAACTTTCCTCTAGTTCCTAAATGTTTCCTCCCCGCTCCCACTACCATGACTC